GAGGGACAGGAGCGAGTATACGCCGCCGACGAAGGTGGCGGCGGCGATCGTTACGCACAAAGCGAAAAGAAGCAGGCGGATGCGCCCCTCCGAGGCGTCCGGCCGGTCGGTGGTGGCTGCCGAGAGGTGACTGTGGTTGGGCGGCGAGGAGTTCAGGTGCTGCGTGGACATCTTCCCGGCGATTAAGTTACTATCAGACGAAGCTCAAGTTTGCACGAAAAGCAAAGAAGAGAGGCATCAAGCACATCATGACATTTTTTTGGGGGGAGTCGAGTTGACGGATCCAAAGCTCGCCACCGCGGGGGACACGCAGCCTCTCGTCCAGCTGTAGATGTGCACACGTTGTCGACCCCCACCTACTTTTCTCTCTCAGTCACAATCGGGATGGGCTTTACATGCAGACTACTACAGCTCGAGTAGCACACGTGCGCGAAAGCGCTCCCACGCAGCACACTATTAATTTTATACACGCGCTCTACCTGAATACCAATGAGCAAAAACACAATTCATTCTAATTTGTGATACTCCGAGCCATTCCCTTTAGATAAGCAAAAAAAATCAATGACAGTGAGAGAAGAAATTATTGTAAAGTGGAAGAATACGCCGGCCTCAAAACAGTTTGGATTAACGACCTTCAGGTGAAGAGTTGGCTGAAGATCCCTGAGCGGTGGCTTTGCCCTCATCACAAAATCATGTTTTTTTTGGGTTCATGAAAACCTGAAGAGCCACTATCCTGCATGTTTTAGATCTTCTTCCTCCTCCAACGCACCTAATTCAAATGATCAGCTCATCTGCAGCCTGATAACGATTTACAGTGCTTTTGTTCAAGCAATACTTTTTTATTAGGTAACATTGGGAACGAAGCCAGTTATACAGAGCATTCACTGGCTGCAACGTTAGGTGCACTTGTGGAGTCCAATCCAAGAAAACAATAAAAAAAAAAAAGCTATTAAAGGTGCTTTTGATGCCAAATCCTCAAATGTAATCATCAAAATCTGACGCCATGTACTGCCTTTATTATGGAGGCAAAATAGTCTGATTCAGCATGACATGAAATGTGTTGTAGAAATATGCACAGTATACAATACTTGATCTTTGATGAAAGCATTCACAGTTATCTTATAAGACAGAATTGTCAAACTTTAACTTGCATAGTGTGTGTGTGTGTGTGTGTGTGTGTGTGTGTGTGTGTGTGTGTGTGCGCGCGCCAATCCCACCCCACTGTGTCCTTGTTTTGTCCCTCCATGAGCTTTTCAAGGATTTTCAACAACGAAGGGCCGCTATGTTTGGTCACAAGGATCACGGGCATTCACATTCTTTAATTGAAGCAAATATTCCGCTTTTGTTTGACACTTGTAAAGTCTACTACCTCACTTCACTGATGTCACTGTGGCCGCTACAGTGCAGCAAGGATCCTCACTGGAGACGTACACATGAGTGTAAACATCTCTGACTTGTGGTCGGCTAATTGAGTTTGGGCTAAGTGACTTTGAGGCCCCGCCTAATGACTCTGCTCTCCCAGGAGCCACGGAGATGCAGCGGGGAACATTAGAGGACAAAATGCAACTCTCGTGGGTGTACAGTACACACGAACACACGCAAACGCACGTAGCAGTTTAGCCCAGAGTTACACTGCAATGTGACCTAGTTCGTGTTTTTGTGCATGGGTGTGCAATGGGAGCAAGTAAAATACTTCTACTTAATTGGTATGTACTGTAACTAAATCTTGAAAAAAAATTGCAACCAATAATTCCCAATTCGTTGAGTAACACAAAAATTTAGTTTAAAAGGACTGAGGGATCCAAAGTAACGTTTCCTCTATTTTTAAGTGTCAGTATGGAAGATGATGTTCAACCGTGTTACAAAAAGAAAAATTCATCAAACAAAATACATTAGTGCCTCAAGATACGTGCAGTCGATCGGACAATATTTCACTCTAAGTTGGGACTGCAAAATTTTAGATATGAACGCTGTGTGGTTGAAGGTGAATCAACGCACTTCACAATAAACAGAAGCTGAAATAATAAGAAAATAGTCTTTAAAAAAGAGGCTTTAATTTGTTTACTGCCAGTCTCAGATGAAGGGTACCGTCAAAGTAAACATAAAACAAAGAGAATTATAAACCACATCGTTTCTGCAACCGGAATGCAAATATCCATCCATCCATTTTCAACACCACTTATCCTGAAGAGGGTTGCGGGCAGTTGCTGGAGCCTATCCTGCTGCAGACTTTGAGGGGAAGGCAGACTACAAACACATAAAGAGATGAACAACCATTCACCCCTACATCCACGCCGTCACTGTATCGGAACCGATCCCTCGAGGCGAGTGTACCACTACACCATCAACGACTTCATGATGTCAATTAAACAAGCTTATATGAGATGAACTAAAATCATGAAAACCAACCACTACCTGTATATTACAAGGTAGAAAATACTGTATACACATTATTAATTGCTTATGATTTTGTTTCATTTTTACCTCAAGTGTGGTACAAAAAAAGCAGTCAAATATGCTGCAATGAAATGAATACATTGCATAAAGGTCATTCAGTGCAATGTAATTGTCAATCTGCAGCTTGAAATATGTCCAGATGTTCTTTAACACCATCTAGAATTGCTCCACGTATGCCAAATTATTTCCTTAACTTCTCATTGCAGGGTTTTTTTAATGCCATATTAAATCAAGCCGAAGGCTCAAAACTAACGTCTTCATTACTTGCCAGTATCTACTTTCATTGCACTGTCTACTTCAATCAACTCTGACAGATTGGAATCCAATAAAAACTTAAAATTAATGTGTGACGACTTTTGAGTTCACAACTCCCGACATTCTATCCTGACACATCTCATGAATCTTACAACAATAAATATGGCTTTAGAAGTGAAGTCAAATGCATGTCGAGGACAGCAAGTAAAAACTCCCGAGTCTTGCAATGGCAGCACGGTGTCGTAGTGATTAACACGCCTGCTTCACAATTGACAGGTTCTGGGTTTCAATCTTATCTGTTTTCCCCAGGTACTGCGGCTGCCCCCTCACCCCCCCATTCGGAAAATGCACGTTCGGTTCAGTGAAAATGAATTCGCGTTTCATGAAAATTAGGGGGTAAATGGTTGCTTGTCCATCGATGCCCAACGATAAGATGGCGACTCCAATTCACTCATGACCCAACTTGGGACAAGAAGTAAATTCCAGTCTTATGTCACATCAAAGAATAAATAATCCACGTACAGTACAGAATACGATTTACATCAGAGAACGAGAGCAGCAGTCTTTCTGGCAACCGTACATGAATAAAACATACTATATGGATGTAAATGGCAACCTGCACATGAATAAAGAGATACAGTATGTAGACAGAATTGAATGTGAGCAGCAGCATATAGCAGAAAACATATGTGGAAGTATATAGACATTGTTAGCTCATTTAATAAAGCCTACCACTGCAAGTTAGAAGGAACTGTCATCCCTCTAAGAGTGGTCAAGGAGAGACACAGCCACCGGTGTACTTTCATTCTTGAACAAACTGTAACCAGAATAAATACATAACAAGCACCTTCAAACACTAGCTGCAATCGCCACAGCTGACGCCCACAGACTCAAAGCAAGATAAGATTACCTCAGAACACAACAGCCAACAGCACTCTCATTCGCAACCTCAACAAGTCAGGGCTTGCTTTTTAAAGCCACACACATTCAAAATCACAAACGATGCCACGAGGATGGCAAACCCAAGAAGACTATATTAATGCATACAAGCATGGATATTTTGTGTTGTATAATTTATAATGTATGTTTTGTATAATGCACAAAGCTTTCAAATAAATATAAAAGAAAGCTCATGTAAATATATGCTTGGTGCTTTGTGGATTTTTGTCTGTCTAGCTAAACGAGGGACTACTGTATGCATGAATAATAATCTATAAACAGAATACTATGATGCGAATCTGAAGACATGAATGCGAAAACAGATTGCAAGAACAGTCAGCAGCATTTTATGAGGCCTAAAAACGATACAGTACCGTAATCAATGAATAGTCAAATAATAAGCACCAGCAATACTAACCATCAACAGGGAGTAGACAACCACTGTACTTTAAATGGGAATAACACAATACTACACTATACATAATACGTACAAAGATGCGGACAAAGGGTAATAACAGTTTCCTTTTATGTGATGACAACATGAATTACAATAGCAATTGGTTTGCTTCAGCTTCATAAATACTGACCTAAGGTTAAAATTTGCAGGTTATACACTGAGTGAATTGCATATTTATATCAGTCCAGGGTAAAACATTAACATAATGGATTACTTAAATTATTTTTAGATCATCATGTTTCATTTTTCTCAGATTAAGTCAAGCAAATGTACCAACCACTCCACCATGAGTGACTCACGAGGCCTTGTCTCAAAATATTCGAAGCACTCTCAGTATAAAAGTACTGAATAAAGTAGTATAAAAACTACGTTTTAAAGGCAGATTTAAAATGGTGTAAAAAATGAAGTATCTGCTGAATTAATATTTGCAATACAAGTCGACAATGACATTTTTATAGTAGCATAAAAGCCATTTTACGTGGAAGAAGTTGGACAAGCAATGACAAAAATTGACCACGAGGGGGCGTTGTTGCACTGTGGGATAATTGCAAGCGAGCCTCAAACCCGTTGGTCTTCCCGTTGTTAATTGAGCAAAATCCAAGTTTCTGCTTCCAATGACTCCAAATCAATCTGCCACAAGATGTTAGGTAAGGACGAACGAGATGAGGCCCTCCAGCCGAGTCACAGCTGTACTTCGGTGTGAGGAACAATCAACAAGATGTGACGAAATGTGGCAAATTAGTTCAAGTTTTTGGTGGTGGTGGGGAGCC